AACAGCCAAAAAAAAGTTCTTTCCTTATGCGGTGTACTTCAATTTACCCAACCTCCTGTGACATCGGTTCTTTCCCTTGTGACAAATGGGAAGCAACAAAGATTGGAAACCAAGAGAATCGAACTTGCAGTGCCTTGACTGTTCTTTTCCACTTTGGAACACCGGCGTCTGACGATGTGAGGTATCCTTGAAGCTAGAAACGAAGAGCCCGAGTTTTGGCAGTAACATATCAGCATGTGGAAGGTGGCATTCCTGCACAAACTCCCATTCACAGAGTATTTAGATGTGGCCTGATCCGCCATTCCTCCTCCTTTCTCAACTAAGGAGCCAAGCATATTTCCACATCATTGCTATCGCACGCTGAAGACATTTACCGCCATGGAATATTTCGACCCCTACCAGACTATCACCGGGTTCCACGCCAATCCTCTCGACCCGAATCTGCCATCATTCCAGATAGTTCCTGCGGAACAACTGCCCCCCGTGTTGTACCTTGTCCAACACACTGATTCGAGATCCTTGTCCTACGGCCCCCCGTTTCGCTGTATCCTAGCAGCGGATGTTTCACGTCGACTCTTCACATTCGATGACCTAAATTACTTGGCAAAGCACCACGCCTACAGTCCTTGGATTACGAGGGGACCAACCCGCTTCATCTCGACGTTTGAGCACCTGGAGCGCGCTCGACAGTGGGCAATATCCCGCAGGTTCCCCAAGATATACATCATCAGCACGGGACATCTCCCGGAGGATACCATCGTGCTTCGATCCCCCAACGCGGACTGCTACCTGTTCTTGCACTGGATCCCGAGGTCCGCTATTGCTGGAGAAGTGCTGAGCCTGCTCCCAGATGATGCGGCGGATGTCGAGGAGTATCAGCACATCCGCGAGCCAGTACCAGGCTACACTGTCCATGTCCCTGATCCACCTTGCGTCTTCCAACGCACACGAGACTCAAAGCGTAAGTCAAAGTCCCAAGACGGTCACCACTAGTCTAAACATCCTTTAGCCTTTCTCAAGGGTTTCCCCTTCCGTACACACACACCGTTACATAGCCATACCCAAACCACGCATATTATCCAAGCCACTCTCTCCCCCAGCCCAGTTGAACTAATACAATTTTGTCGACAGTTGCCCCGAACTACATTCATAACAATCATCTTCGAGGATACCAGGTCGGCCAAGGCACAGATACTCACACGATCATGGCCCCATTGCCCCGAGTATCCGTATTTCAGTCTCCGTTCCTACAACCTACCTCCGAACTCAACTGCAAGAAGTACAATGAATACTGGATATACCGGCCGGACGAGTTATACGCCGAGATTGGTGCTGATGTAATCTATGCATTGTAGATAGCGGAAGTTGCTTGTATTGCTTATGCAATAGTGGATGGAGGTGGGTGGAGAAGACGGAAGTTTGGATCTTCAACAGCGAGACAGAAAGTGTTTTGAATACACCCTAGCGACAATTTTATAAACCGCCCGTTTTAGAAGAAAGAAGGATGCCTCAGAGCAAGAAGCCAGGACTGGAATGGAAGTGTTGATCCTCGAAACTTTGGCCTAGGTAGATAAGATGTGTAAATATATGAATGGAAGCGTCCACGTTACTTGATGGGAGTTACCTGCAGGAGGCCTGTATGCTCACATCACATGTATCCAGTCATTGGCCAACCAACCTACCAATCATATCAAGACACGATCAATCTTCGACTGTACCACCATTGGTCGTGAGCTTGTGAGGCCGACGAGGGTACATGTATATTTGATACCTCCCCTTCCTCTTTCACGTACACATGCTTAGTTCCCCATCCCACCATTTCAACATAGGATTTTTCCCTTCTTCAATCAAAGTCAGAAGCATCCAAGAACCATGACAGCACCCACGGTATTCTGGCACCTTGCATCCTCCGACCCACCCGTCATATCCCTGACCCTCCCGCCCAAGCTCTACTACGTCCGGCATCGCAGTTCGCAAGCCTACGAAGCTGAAGATGGCGGGTTCATATCCCGCGCGCCAGAACTGGACATCCGCAACGAGGACGACCTGGAGAGGAACGCCAGACTGCACTTTGACTGGAATAGCCGGGACTGGGAATCCTGCTTCGTATCGGCCTTTGGCGATCAAGCGCACGCGGAAAAATGGGCTCTCAGGCCCTGTTGCTTGAAGCCCGTCAAGGTGTACGAGCTGGACACGACCAAACTGCCGCCGGGAACGCTAGTCTTGAATGTGTTTATGCTGTGTGCGGCGCGGGGCATTGTGTATAAGTGGAATGAGGGCAAGGATGAGTATCTGTTTTATGGAGGCATACCGGGGTTGTGTGTCGGGAGGAGCTGGGGGCCGGCAACGGGGGAGCGTCCTCCTGTGGAGTTTTGCAAGATGGGTAAGTCAGGGCTGTCTTTCAGTGTTCTACTCGACGAGTCAGTTACCGTTGTCGTCGTCGTCGTCGTCGTTGTTGTTGTTGTTGTTGTTGTTGTTGTTGTTGTTGTTGTTGTTGTTGTTGTTGTTGTTGTTGTTGTTGTCGTGCCTTTGAACGGGACGTGGGAATCGGATGTGGGAATGGGTAATGCTATGACCTGGGCAGCGAAAGCTAACTTGTATGAATAAACGCAGAGTTCCCGGACCAATGGTTCAAAGTCATATATGCATCCGAACAAGCGCAAAGAAGACACAAGGCCCTGATGGCTGCCTCCAACTGCGACATGGAAACTCAGGAATTTGGAGAGGAAGGAGAGCACCAGAAGCCCACTAAGATGAAATCAGTGGCCCAGTTAAGACTGGAACGGCGCGCCGAGCGCGAGGAATTAAAGGGCAAGAAGGCAGCTGACGCTGAGCTCAGCGCCAACGCCCTTGAACCGGTACACGACACGGATGTGGACGAACTATCCGGGCAGATGGGGTTGTTGGACCTCGAACCCGAAACAGAGGTCGACGCTCCCGAGAACGGCAAGACTGAGAGTCAAACCACCACGGCGACAGAAATGACGACAGTGACGGCCGCGGTCAGCACTTCTACCGGTGCTGCTACTACACGCACACGTTTTTCGGCGTCCCATTACCGGGAAGAAAGGAGAAGAAGACTGAAGGAATTAGAGAGTCAGAAGTCCGCTGAAGCCAATACAAACACTATCGACGAGTCGGATGTCGACGGATCCGCAGGTTGACATTATAACCGGGGACAGAGACAGGGCACACTGAAATGGAAGTGCTCGACATCGAGGAGGACAGTGATGCCCACACAGTCCACACGGGCGATACCACATGCTCACCAGAGCTCAATGCGAATACCGACACAAGCACCGCCCCAAAGGATGACCAGGACATGTCACTACCGAGGACCAGAACCAGAACCGCAGTGTTACGATCCAATCGTTGAGCCTCATGTAAGCTAGATAGATTGACCAATCAGATAGGACCCGGGGTCCCGAGTCTACGGGACCACGGGACGGACCCGATGTCCCGGGCTTTCGGGACCACGGGACGGGGTTGAAGACCAGTATATAAGAAGGCCTCCCGGCCTTCGTTATACCTGGTTCTTCAGCAAGCAATAGCTATCACAACCTACCAGTACCTTTTGGCTACTACTCCGTTACTCTATTGTTCTATCCCAGCGATAATACTCCTGTGCTTGTAACGGTTCGTCACACGCAGCTACAACTGAGGCTACAACCACCGACCGAGCCGGGGCCGACACCAAAGTCGTCATTCGTTCTGCCGATCTTGCTGCTAGAATTGCAGCTCTACAAAAACTGATTGCTCAGAGGAAGGCCATGAGGGAGGCGCAGGCTGCGCAGAAGGCGGCAGAAGAGAGAGAGCGGGAATCTTCGGGCGATTGAGGGAGAAGGACAAGCCGACAAAGGTGATGAAGGGAAGCATGGTTGCGTGAACATAAAAGAATCTCGATGAGCTCAGATGTTGCTATGGTGCTGCAGTGGTTGATGATGCGGACTCGAAGCTGACGCGAGGTGCTTGCCGAAGTAACGAGATCTTGATGTCCACTGTTCAGTGCTTAGTCATGGAAGTATCGGGAGATGAGTGAGGGATCGCCTTCGGAAGAGAAGGCGGTATCATGCACAACAGGGCATGTGCGATGTGGCGAAGCTGCCCTCGGGACTGACTCCGACTCCCGTCCGGGTCTGGGTGAAGCGGTGGGTGACGAATACTGCAGATGGAATTTGGAAGGAGCAATCCACCGGCGTCTTGTCAACGGAACTGCCTGATGATCTTCTTTTCTTCATCTGACCATCCCGGCCGCAAAAGCATTCCCCATCAGTTAAATCATCACCTTGTCACGCCAGACTTTTTCTCTTGCTTGCCCCTCCTGAAGCCATCACGTTGACTTGGCTTCCTTACCATCAGTTGATGCCATCCACATGTGCCTTACCTTGTGTATAAGTTGGCTGACTTCATGACCCTTCCCCTTTGCTCCTTTCTTTTGCTGTTTAACAATGAGTACTTCTACCATTAAATCCGCGGTCTTCAGTTCAAGTGATCAGGTCCTCCGTATGTCTTGACACTCCCTTCTACGGACATCAATCAGGAACGGATAAGTCCGTCGTGGCTCTGTCCGCTGTGAAAAACACCGCATGTGATTCCTATCTCTTCTTCAGACGAGGGTCCGCTGGGCTTGAAAATCACGGGGCTTTGGCCTGATGTACATGTATGTAATCGCGCCATGAATAAACGTGGAAATGCACGATGCGATGTATGTTGCCAACTGAGGGCTTTAGAGGCGCATATGTGCCCTCGACCACGGTATTTTGGATGCTCGACATGAGTACCCCTGAATATGGACATAGCCCTGTCATATCTGTGCAAATCGTATGGGTTGACACCTACTTGATGTTCCGATAGCAGCGGATTCAGCTGGGTCTGAAAAGCCTCTTCCTGCTTCTGCTTAAATTAACAAGGGAACCGAGAGTATTCACCAGCACTGGAAACACTTCCTCTCAGAGCTTCTTCGCATACACAGAAACCCCTCCTCTTTTCTTTGGGCTTTGTCTCTCTTGAACTCTTCAAATATCCAAACCATCCAGATATCATGCCCTCCTTCACTAAAAGCAACATTGTCCGATTCATGGCCAACCAACTGGTATACGTGTCAAACAATGACCGCAACCATCTAAATGGCCATCTCAACGGCTATCCAAGCCCTCAACCGACAGGCTATCCCAACAGTGGCCGTCCCAGGACCCATCCGAACAGTCACAAGCCCCATCTAAACCTCCCTGAATTTTTGTATTACGTTGAATACGAAGGATCGCAAGCCGTGCCTTTCGACCAACCCGTCAGGCCCCACCTCCACCGTGACATTTTAGCCCCTGACACATCCCTTAGATATCTCTCAAAGCCGGGTTTGAGAAGACTCATGGCCGAACACCTCCAAATGCGCGATAACCCCAACAGCCGCCGCCCCAGCTGCTTCCTCTCGGCATTTTCCAACATCACCCATGTTTTCTACTGGGGCATGAAGCACAAGGGACAGGTGTGGGTGCACAAGATCGACACCAAACTGTTGCCTTGCGATATGTCCAAGCACTGGGTTGGCTGGGTGCCGGGGCAGGACGAGTACCTGTTTCTGCACCGGATTCCGTGCGCTGCTATTGTTTATGAGCATTGCATCAAGGAAGATGATCGTGAGCCTCGTAAGTACCTGTATCACCTTTCTCTCATCTCTTTCGCATTTTGAATCTCCTTGGGAATGCCGTTGACTAACGAGCGTCCGTTAGAAACCCATGAAAGCATGACGGAGTCTCTGTGTTCCCTTCTTGAGGAAACGGGAAATCAAGATGTCATCATGAGCAATGCGCACCTCTTCAACTACTTCAACAAAATCAGTTGTCACCCGACGTGCCCTCACCATACTGGTGCCCAGTGGACGAATGCCCGTACTTCCCAGCATCAGCAAGCAACCAAACCGTATGTGACGTCGAGGGGGTATCAGGAATTGACATGATTGTTCTCAAGTCAAGGGGTGGGCTACTGAGTCTGAGTGAGTCTAGTTAGGTAGGTAGAGGAGATGTGCAACATTACAGGTAACAGTGATGTGGTGCAGACTCTCGCTGGGGATTTGTTACTCAGGATACCCCAAACTCTTGAGCGTCTGCGGTCTGAGACGGCAGGGACGGAAGAAGAAGGAATTTGGGCAAGGAAGGAAGTGGAGGTTGGATCGGAGAACGACGCTACTACGAGAAACTGCGGCCTTTGCGCAGGTACGGAGTGTCGGTGCAGCTTGGAAGCTTGGATATGGAAACCTTGGGGGTAATCCGGTGGGCGACGACACTGCATGTCTGCATGTGCAGTGGTGGAAAGTACGGTTCTGGGCCCTAGAGCATGGCGTTGGGGCGGGTTTCTTCTCTGTTTTTGTCTTTTTGCTGTTCGGGACGACATGCAAGTACGATTAGCTAGGACATGAGTGGCGTTCGCATCGAATGACCGGAGCAGCTGCTCAGTCCTTACATAGAAAGCAATATTGAGGTTTTTGCTTGATGTTGGAAATTCTTGACTTGACGTGCATGTGGGCGTGGCGGTGTCGTGAAAACCCAGGAAATGCGCAACAAAATGCAATGCAGGCTGCCAGCAGAAGCTGTGAAGGGAGTGAAAATAGATATTCTGGTTTATGTGTCAGCAACTTTGGGATCTGGACAACGAACCCAGATTGAGCTCTCACGTGCAAATGTCTATCATGCCCTAGAAATTGGTGGATTTGAGCATCCTCTCATTATTTAAACCACCGCCATCCTTTCATTCTCTCGCTCTCCCGCTTTCCACTGTACCCTCCAATATTTTCTAGGTTCCGTTGATTGAAAGACTAACATCATGAAACGTGAAGATCTCAACAAATGGGCAGTTTCCCACAAGAATCTACCCCCGCAACTTTACTTCGTTCATCATGCCCAGTCACAGTGTCAGTTTCTGGAAGAGCTCGTTGAGGAGGCGATTAAACGCAAAATTCCAGGCATCCACCAGCTGAACGTAATGGGTGGAATCGCAGCGAACTGCAACGATGCTATCTTCGACTGCATCGAAGACCTAACCAGCGTCACTCAGATCTACCGCCGGATCAAAAGCCACCTCGAATGGTCCACTAGTCGCCCTTCTTGCTTTGTCTCCACGTTCGTAGACTTTTCTGCTGCTCTGCGTTGGGGTCTGCAACTCGAGGGACCAGTCAAGGTCTTTATCATCGAGACAAGGAAATTGCCTCCCATGCCGACGGTTCACGTCTTTCGCCCGTTCGACTTCAATGCGAAGTGGCCCAAGACCGAGTTCTTGTTCTTGCACCAGATCCCGTACTGCGGATTAAAAAAGGCGGTTGTCCTACGGGATGACAGCAAAGCAAAGCGTGAGTACCTCTACCGTTCTTCTTTTGCGGGAAAAGGCTGTGGAATGAATGAATTCCGATATCACCAATGGCTCTAGCTTGCTGACAAGAAATGCTCAATCTAGTCCCCGGCTCATTTCCATTCACTCAGGAACCCTTGAGCAAGGTATTACAAACTGTAGTTCCTGAGCCACCACAAACACAAGGAAGTGTCAAAAGGAAGAGAGACGAAGATCCTGTATTCATAAGGGTGACCCGGCTACAGTCCAAAACGGGAAAGCCGGCTGCAGTGCCTACAGCTATCACATGCAGTGAAGGTGGTAATGGGAAGTTGGGAACAAGTGAGATGCTGCCGCCAGCCACACCGTTGGTAATAAAACGCCTTACCTTGTGTTAAAGCCGCTGATGAAGAGCTATGCCATTGTTCCTCGTTTCGGCATTTCAGAAAACGGAGCAGAGACAACAGAGAGGACTCATCATTGGATATGGCTGGTGTCAGAAGCACCCGTCAATGCAACAATCCTCGAGACCTCATCTGGACCACTCGCAAGGTCAGACAACATTGGAAGATGGGGACGATGGAAACCAGCCGGAGTCGACATTCGCCAATCAGACATGGCTCGAGTCAAACAATTCCGAATTTCGGCCGGGAATTCTTCCATACAATGTCTCCGAGCTCCAATAAGGGCGTGTTCGGCGACCCGTTTTTGGGACTCGGAAGTCTTCCAGGTCGTTTTCTCCAAGTGCTGTTCGACAACACCTGGAAGACTTCCAGGCGAAAATCCAACACTTCCAAGATTCGGAAATCGTTTACTCCGATACGACGCTATTTGTCCAATCACATAATTACTTTGGCCCAAGATCTCCGAAGACAACTTCCAGACCTCTGGACCTCTGGAAATCTGACTTGGAAATAAATCACTTCCAAACTATTTCCGAGTGGCCTATGCACAGCTTCTGAGATCCCACTTCCGAAAGCCCATTTCCAGGCCCAAAAAGGGGGCACCGAACACGCTCTGAGCGTGAGAAGATATAGGGACCGGAGGAACAGAACGGAGCCGAGTGTTGGGTATTTGTGCAGGAAACCAAGGCTTGGAGAGAGAGGGGTTCCGAAGTTTTATGCGAGGATCACCCGGATTTACTACTGCCTCATGCGTCCGTACATCGTACCATTTCCCCTCATTGTATTCAGGTTTATTACTGATAAAATGACTTGATCCTCGCGTGACGAACGCTGATTGGTGGATAAGGTATGTTCTGTGTAGAACTAGTTCCCTACGGAGGGATGCTTTTCAAATTGGCTGGAATATGATGGTAGAATTAGTCCCACATGGACACTTGATCTGCGCAGAACGTATGTCGATATCACGCTGGCCATTTGTGAGATTTAAATAGGAAGAGAAGGAACTTCCTTTCCTCTTCCCCATTCTTGTCCTTACCTCCTACCTTAACGTTCTCTGTCTTCTCATTCCACCATCATGGCAAAGACAAACCCTGCCCCAGCCACTTACCTCA